AACATGTTGGTTTCGGTTGCGAGGGACTTGAGCTTGGACCAGATGCAGGTGAGCACATATTATGCCCAGACTCTACAGCTCCCAGACTCCTAACCTCTTTCAGAACCTCGTGTTCGTGGTGCCACCGATGTAACATGTAACGCAAATTCAATCACTTTGACAGTGCGTACTCAACGTGCGATGCATGGACGAATGTACGCTCAGAATTTTCACGACGCCCCTGAATGCTCTTTGGTACGCTTGAGAACAAGATTTCTTAGTAAAAAAATGAGCTTTATTTGATTAGGCCAGCGATGGCTCTTCACGTGAATTGTCCATTACCTTTCAAGACGGCGAATGTGGTCTGTACAAAACACCTTCGCAGGTTCGTTCATATTTCTTCAACTAATTTTGAAAAGTTCGTGAAAAGAAAAGATTATAATTTGATGGGGTTAATTGAATTGCAATTTACTGAAGCGTTTAGCTTTAGACGACGTAGAGCGCACAAGTATAATAAGCAGATTGTTGTTCATATTTCATCTAAATCACCAAGTTTATTTGAATATAGAAAACTTGCGTTATCTCAAACGCAGAATACCATAATGCTAGTCAAAAAAAGGAAAAGATGTAGAAAAAAAGTGAAAAAGAAGGAATATAGGAAGGAAATGAAGGGAAAGTACCTATTTGTAGTGAAAAGTTGATATTTCTAATTACCAGACGTTAAGAAAACAAACTAAACTGACTCATTTCATCAACTTCTATAAGGTGCATCAAGGAAAAAAATCACTTTAGAGAGGTCACCTAATTCTAACGTGATTTCATTGCTCTTCCCTGTGGCACCCTATAAAAGGATGTACAAAATTTCTATTTTGACTTTTTACTGCAAAGAGGTACAATGTTTTGATCCATGTTCACCTATTATCATTTCATTATGACTTTACTTGTCGGTATCGCAAACAATATGTGAATCTTAAGCAAACCTAAAAAATCTCCCAACTTTTTTCCGAAATTTTAGAAGAGTTGAGTGTTATGGTAGTTTTGATTTGTATTGGGACTGTTAGCGGAAAGGACATTGTAAAGAAATGATAGAGAGTAATTAGTTTCATCATACTCAGCTTATTGAAAAATCCGTGCTGGTGGAGGAATTCCAGGACTTCATAACGCAGAAATGAGCGAAAATGAGTTGTTCACAGGGTGGAAAAAGAGGAAAAGAGGCGATGTCCCGTGTGTTGGTTGGACTTGACGTAATGCTCAAACACAGAGATAATTACCGTAGCCTACACTTAGCAGCATTTATGGCATATAGTTCTATGCGTTTCTCTTTCCTACATACGTCATCTCAAAATTGCTATAGCTTTTCGGCGGCGATGTCGGTCCAGATCCATTAGTCGTTACCACCTAAGATTCATCCACTCGTGCAATAAACACGTAGACCAATTTGTCGGCGGTTTCCATCGAGGAGTTTCACTTCACAGGGGATCCTTTCCTTTGCCGATCTGTCCGTTTTCATTATACGACCGGTTTATCGATATTTTGCTGTAAAGACGTACTACAAATCACAAAGACAGGATTTTCCCCATAAACATAATGTATGCCCTACGATATTTTCGCATTTCGCATGTAACTTCAAGGGCTTAGCCCTTGCCTCTGCCTCTTTCCTCTTTTTCGAAAAATCTTCGCTGACAATTTCAGCGCACGTCCCCGCTCTAGGACTGAGGGCTTGAAGAACGACTGTATGAAGGGGTTGAGGGATTTTTTGGATCCGTAAATTGTTCTGTGGCTTATTTGACAATCACTAAGGCCGCTCAAAATGTTGTTCATTCTTGAGTTCTTTCTTTAAGTCATTCATCGAACGCCTAAGAGAATAAGATAAGTTCTTCGCATTGAATCTGTTCTTTATAAAGAAGTCTTCCTCCTGCTTATTCGTAGGCTAACTCTCTTCTCTACTTTCAATTTTGCTTTATTGATACACCTCGCGAAGAGAAAAACAAGGTTGAGAAATTTTTTAGATTAATACCCTGTTAGCTCCTTTCTCCCGTCTTAGGCTAGTGAATTTCACAAGGCCAAAATTGTTTTAGCGATATACTGGTCTTGTCAATCTCATCTGTTATCATGGGGAGCGATACAAACTGTCAATCATTAAAACTAGCCATCTATCACTATTCTCACATATGCTGACAGGCTGTAAGCATAGCGTTGGTTTCAAAGTTTAATGCCTTCTCATTGCGAGGAAGATGCTGGGAAGTGAGCGGTAATTCTATGGTTTGAGAAAAAGTAGTTGTGTTCCAATTAATTTAAACTCGAACTGAGTTTGAGCTACTTTCAGTGTTCTCACATACGAATAATTTTGGTGGGAGTTTATATGAGAAGGTAGTGGAGGGCAATTTTAAAGA